GAGAGGCAAAAAACAAATCACGCGACACTCACACTCTGAGCGAGAACTCGGCGACCATGGGCGTCAAAGATGTAAAATGTCGTAAGATGTTATGTCGTCTTTTAAGGTGGGAAAAATCTATTGATGATAATGTGACTAAAAAGTCTCCTCATTAATAGGATATAACCTGCGTTCAAGTTTTAAAGCGGGGGAGTCGTCACCTGCGCATGCGTCAGATGGCCAAAGCGTGTCATTGTTCACAAACAAGACACCCATGAGCCTTTGCATTTTTAGCGTGTGTTGTTATCGTCGCTTGGAACTCAATTCTCGTGCGTGCGCAGGTGACGACCGTCCCGCTAAGCCGTAAATTAACAAGATAAACATCGTTGTGGCTCAGACTAGTAATAAAGTCCGAGATTGTGGCAAAGGAGTACTAGTAGTATAATTCATGACCTATAATTATATTAATAACATGCAAATTACTAATAAAAAAAAATATTTCATTTGTTTAGGTGCTATTTGGCTTGGTATTACATGGATTAAAAATGCGAAAAAATAGCCCTCAATTAAAGACATCGTAACCACCATCGTTTCCCTTCATTTTCGGCTCCAGTCTCGTCCCCATTTACTATCTATCCAACATTTCTCTTTGTTATCCTTTTCACCACCAGTTCACTCTTTTCATCACAAAATAGTCCCGTTTATAGTCTGCACATTCCTTCAGAATATTGGGACAAGTATAGCCAATTCTCTCGTGTAAAAGCGGAAAATTGACTCAAATTTTGTCTGTTGGTTTCAAAATTAGGGTTCATTTCAACAAATATTGAAGAATACAAGAAAAAAGTACAGATAAATTTGGGCGGGAAAATCTGGTGATGAAAATATTAATGCGATGTCTGTACCGTGTTTATTTCTAGACTACAGTTATGGTGGCAGCGATAAATGTAGGCTTCCAATTGACAGTCGCAATCTTGGAAACACCGGTCAGCGTGACTTAAATTCTCAGCTCCTCGACGCCCACAACTACTTCCGGTGCCTTCACAGGGTTGGCCCGTTGTCATGGGACGCCAGCTTAGCTAACGTGGCACGGAGAGTGGCAAGTGACAACATGATGCGTGGATACTTGAAACACAGCAGTTATGGATATGGCGAGAATCTAGCGATGGTACAAATTTCAGATATCAGCCATATTTCAGGTATGGCCAATAGTAATGTTGATAATATGTCACGTGAGAGGTCACGTGGCAACAGCGTGGTCGGAGAGTACTACATTATACATCTTTGGCTTAAAGGGCGGTGCTCGTCGCGCTACGCATGCGCCAGATATGGGTCTCGTATATACAAAGATAGCGATTTGACTGTTGCGCAGACCAGCAAGTACAAAACAACATGTTACCAAGCTTTAATTAGGTTTTTTTTGGGGGGGGTTTAATGAATCGAAGGAGTCGTCGGTGGTGATAAATGCAAATGGCACCCACGGCAAAGTACATACTTGTGTTTGCATTATAAAGTCGCACTGAATTGTGGGAAAATCAATGTTCATCAACAAAAATGTCGCACATGCGCGACGCGACGACTACAGCTTTTTAACACTGATCAAATACCAAACTTTGTAAAATTGATGATTTTTCATATTAAATCAACAACTCGCATAGCCGGAAATAACAATTATTTTTTTGGAAAATAAAATTAAATAGAAGTATTAATTCCGAAGAACAGGGAGTAAAGATGTCGTTACAACAATACTTACCAGCACACGCTGAAGATGGGTATATGTATATGAGAGTTATATAATAAAAAAACAAACGAAACTTAATATATGAGCTTGGTGGCGCTTCTAGGCCTACTCCGTAAATCAAATAAATACAGACATCTACTCGCCACGATATGCAAATATATGTAATATTCAGTGTCAACGTTAATAAGGCAATTTCTTTTTCTTGACAGGCTACGGAATTATTAAAATGTGGTATGATGAAATAGAAATGTACGACTTCTCCAGACAAGGATTCAAATCTTCAACTGGTAAACATTACTTTTTAATATTCTTGAATTTTCCTAACTGTATATTCGCCCACTAGATTATCTCATACTATATGCAATGTTGCAGCTCACTTGTTATATTGTGACTGTAGCATTATAGCTAAATTAAAACTAACCATGCTACAATAGCATGTAAAAAGTGGTGTGCATAACATAGACCATCTAGGATTTCTGGGACACTCAGATTCCCTGATTTATTCACTCTTAAATTCTCAATCTTACTAGTATAATAAATATCCTAACGTCTATCCTCGGGGGCGGAGCTACGTCACAAGACGTTCTACGTTGCTAAGACGCGCACCACTGTACATGCATTTCTATGGGCTCTGTGCGCGCTGCTGTGGAACGCCGGTGGAGCCGGTGAAAATTCGAGAAAACAACACAAACTCAACTTTGAAGTAATCCTGAACAACCACACACGTGGGACTAATCTTGTTACACTGTTCAGGGGACTCTCAACAACCATCGCAAAGTACCGTTTTCTGCGCGTTTTTGGTCTTTGTTTTCACCGCGAGGGTTGCCAGGCGGTAGGAAATGCCCGGATGTCCGCCCCCGAGGATTGCATGTTTTTTCTTCAAACGTATTCCATTATGTTCATTTTTTCTACCAGCGAGGCACGCATGAAGAAAAGAAAGTAGTGTTTCCCTTTTAGTTGCTTTGTTTGGACTAAATAAACCATACTTTTATATTAGCCTACCATCAAAGTTATATAACAATATGCACAGAAATTATAAATTACTCAGGGTAGAATAAATAAACCAATGAGTACACATGCGCAAAATACAACGTTCGTTCGAAAATGGTTACACTCGATTATCTTGAGTGCAATATTACGTTGCTGAAATGGACGTTATCTTGAGTTACGTACATTTCAGCTAATTCATTGGGATATTCCAAACACATGGCTGACATATATTCCAACTAAATGATGTAGTAAAGACTTTCATGGAGATTTTTTTCTTTTATTTTTTTTTCATTTTTTTTTCTTTTATTAAACGGTGACTTATACCTATAGACCGCCATACGACCTTGTTTTCTTTTTATTAAATCACGTTTTGATTTTAAAAAAACGGCTTTTTTAAAAGTAAAGAATAATTTATAAGTTATTTAGTAACGGAAATCTCTGGAATGTGTACTTCGGCTAAGCCCCTCTGAGCCGAAACAATAACATTTGTAATTAGCATAATCCTGCAAAATAAACATCGCGTGTGATTGTGCGATTACTTAATAACTTACAAACATTGCTTATACATTAGCAAATATTAGCACAACAGTTTTAAATTAGGTACCTCGCAGTATACCCCACACATTGATACATGCATATGCAAAAGATTGTTTCACAACTCAGATCAAACTAGCGTTAAAATACGGGTTTTTAAAAAATAAAATGGGTTCATTTCTTTGACTTCGTTTATAAATGACAAACGACAAGGAATTTGCAGTTGCTTAAAACATAAAAGGTATTTTTTCTGTTTTGTCCCGGTTCGCTGTCACGATAACTGTACATTTCAGTCACGTGCTTTGTTTTATTTACATATTATGAATTAGAACATTACTCATATTTATAGAGCATAACATATTTCACCGGTAAGTTACATTTCACCCAATCCTGGGACAACGACATTTCTAATAATAATTACTTTGTACTCCTAATGTAAGATGCAACATATAGGGGAATTTCCTTCTGAATTTGAAGACAGCTGCTGTCCTGCCTGGGACATCATTTGCACCTTATTATTGTGTTTGGGACGGTTACTAAAACGGTTACATTTTTTAGAAACCGTGGTTTGGATGAAAGAACCACTTTAAACATGTGACAAAAAATAACAATGTGTTCACACTATATCAACACTGTCCACTAACCAAATAATAACATGCTACTCGAACAAATTATCAAAATGTTTTGACTCCTAATTTACCTTTCAGGTGTTGAGAACCAGCTAAATTTGTGTTTGCCTCGACTAAATTATTACGAACTATATAACAAGTCCCGCCCTCAGCGACAGTGTGCTTATGTGACGTCAAAATAGCGTCGTCGGTGAAGGCAACATAGTTCAAAACTGCGATTAGTACTTTAGTCGTTCGTCATTTCGAATATTGTGAATCTCTCAATACATTTTTTATTGATGGATAGCATTGAACAAAAACGATTTCGATGATATGAGCGATTTTACTGTCACCAAATTTCGTCATAGAAACGTATGGTCACTAGATGGCGTAATTTATACAATTTATACCAGAATCGCTTTGTTGCTGGAGGGCGCGACTTAATATATGAAAGGTTTATTGTTAGGACGAGCAAGATTTCATTTATAAAATCGATGTCTTATTTCTAACCTCAATAGGTCATTTGACTCAAGTACTGTGGGCTGGAACAACAAAGCTCGGGTGTGGAGCTGCTTCTAAAGACGGCGCCATTTACATCGCTTGTGAGTACGACCCTCCAGGAAACGTGATTGGTCGGTTTGAGAAGAATGTCTTCCCACGTGTACAGTGAGCGTTACAGCCTGCACAGTAAATTGTTCAATAGTGTAAATGTGCTTGTATGTGACAGTATATTTAAACCGATCGATGTTAACAAATCAACACCTCTAAATTATTACCAATAAACAAAATGTCTATAGTGACCGATGCGACATTTCTGGGTGCGTACCACAAAATGTTTTCAAATGTAGCATCACTGTTTTTGCGATACACAGATCGTTCGATAATAAATGCTCATGAAAGTTTCCCTCATTAAACTCAGTCCTTGTTGTGGGCCCGAAATAATTGCGAAATAAACAGTACAAAATACGACTCAACTGTTGAAATATTTGGCGTTCAAAAAAACTCCCACAATTGTTTTACTTGTATGAAATTCCATGTGTGTTGGGAAACGTGCAGCTTTCCATGTGTATATGTTGCGTGAAAGATATTAGTTGATAAGGAATAAATAATCAGATAAATAAATACTTTATTTCATCCATGTATCTGTCATTTCAAACGTTGAAGCATCAAAGTTTTCAGGTAGCATATTCACACTTTGAGTCAACAATAATTTTTACCAGTAGTGTGGGATTTTAATACATTAGCCTGAATAATTTACTCATTCTACTCTTGAATGGGAATACGAGTGGGAATACGAAACTGCCATTTTATACACTCCATGTATACTTGGATTCAACTAGATCTATCATTAGAGGTACCTGGATTCAACTAGAACTGATATTAGAAGTACCTAGATTAAACTAGAACTATCAATAGAGGTACTTAGATTAAACTAGAACTATCAATAAAAATACCTGGATTCAACTAGAACTATCAATAGAAGTAGCTGGATTCAACTAGAACTGTCAATGGAGGTACCTGGATTCAACTAGAACTATCAATAGAAGTAGCTGGATTCAACTAGAACTATCAATGGAGGTACCTGGATTATATTAGAACTATCAATAGAGGTACCTGGATTCAACTAGAACTAATAATAGAAGTCCCTAGATTAAACTAGAACTATCAATAGAGGTACTTAGATTAAACTAGAACTATCAATAAAAATACCTTGATTCAACTAGAACTATCAATAGAAGTAGCTGGATTCAAGTAGAACTATCAATGGAGGTACCTGGATTCAACTAGAACTATCAATAGAAGTAGCTGGATTCAACTAGAACTATCAATGGAGGTACCTGGATTATATTAGAACTATCAATAGAGGTACCTGGATTCAACTAGAACTAATAATAGAAGTCCCTAGATTAAACTAGAACTATCAATAGAGGTACTTAGATTAAACTAGAACTATCAATAAAAATACCTGGATTCAACTAGAACTATCAATAGAAGTAGCTGGATTCAAGTAGAACTATCAATGGAGGTACCTGGATTCAATTAGAACTATCAATAGAAGTAGCTGGATTCAACTAGAACTATCAATGGAGGTACCTGGATTCAACTAGAACTATCAATGGAGGTACCTGGATTCAACTGGAACTATCAATAGAGGTACCTGAATTCAACTAGACCTATCAATGGAGGTACCAGGATTCAGCTAGAACTATCAATAGAAGTACCTGGATTCAACTAGACCTATCAATGGAGGTACCAGGATTCAGCTAGAACTATCAATAGAAGTACCTGGATTCAACTAGACCTATCAATGGAGGTACCAGGATTCAGCTAGAACTATCAATAGAAGTACCTGGATCCAACTAGACCTATCAATAGAGGTACCTGGATCCAACTAGACCTATCAATGGAGGTACCTGGATTCAACTAAAACTATCAATGAAGGTACCTAGACTAAACTATAACTATTATTGGAAGTACCTGGATTCAAGGAGAACTATCAATAGAAGTACCTGGATTCAACTAGAACTATCAATGGAGGTACCTGGATTCAACTAGAACTATCAATGGAGGTATCTAGATTAAACTAGAACTATCAATAGAGGTACCTGGATTCAACTCGACCCATCAATGGAGGTACCTGGATTACACTAGAACTATCAATGGAGGTACCTGGATTCAACTGGAACTATTAATGAAGGTACCTGGATTACACTAGAACTATCAATAGAGGTACCTGGATTCAACTAGAACTATCAATGGAGGTACTTAGATTAAACTAGAACTATCAATAAAAATACCTGGATTCAACTAGAACTATCAATAGAAGTAGCTGGATTCAACTAGAACTATCAATGGAGGTACCTGGATTCAACTAGAACTAACAATAGAAGTAGCTGGATTCAACTAGAACTATCAATGGAGGTACCTGGATTACATTAGAACTATCAATAGAGGTACCTCGATCAACTGGAACTATCAATAGAGGTACCTGGATTCAACTAGAACTAATAATAGAAGTACCTAGATTAAACTAGAACTATCAATAGAGGTACTTAGATTAAACTAGAACTATCAATAAAAATACCTGGATTCAACTAGAACTATCAATAGAAGTAGCTGGATTCAACTAGAACTATCAATGGAGGTACCTGGATTCAACTAGAACTATCAATGGAGGTACCTGGATTCAACTAGAACTATCAATAGAGGTACCTGAATTCAACTAGAACTATCAATAGAGGTACCTAGATTAAACTAGAGCTATCAATAGAGGTACCTGGATTCAACTAGACCTATCAATGGAGGTACCTGGATTCAACTAGAACTATCAATGGAGGTATCTAGATTAAACTAGAACTATCAATGGAGGTACCTGGATTCAACTAGACCTATCAATAGAGGTACCTGGATTCAACTAGAACTATCAATAGAAGTACCTGGATTCAACTAGAACTATCAATGGAGGTACCTGGATTCAACTAGAACTATCAATGAAGGTACCTAGAATAAACTAGAACTATTATTGGAAGTACCTGGATTCAACTAGAACTATCAATGGAGGTATCTAGATTAAACTAGAACTATCAATGGAGGTACCTGGATTCAACTAGACCTATCAATAGAGGTACCTGGATTCAACTAGAACTATCAATAGAAGTACCTGGATTCAACTAGAACTATCAATAGAGGTACCTGGATTCAACTAGACCCATCAATGGAGGTACCTGGATTCAACTAAAACTACCAATGGAGGTACCTAGATTAAACTAGAACTATTATTGGAAGTACCTGGATTTAACTAGAACTATCAATAGAGGTACGTGGATTCAACTAGAACTATCAATGGAAGTACCTGGATTCAACCAGAACTATCAATAGAGGTACCTGGATTCAACTAGACCTGTCAATGGAGGTACCTGGATTTAACTAGAACTATCAATGGAGGTACCTGGATTCAACGAGACCTATCAATGGAGGTACCTGGATTCAACGAGAACGATCAATAGAGGTACCTGGATTCAACTAGATCTATCAATGGAGGTACCTGGATTCAACTAGAACTATCAATAGAGGTACCTGGATTCAACTGGAACTATCAATAGAGGTACCTGGATTCAACTAGATCTATCAATGGAGGTACCTGGATTCAACTAGAACTATCAATAGAGGTACCTGGATTCAACTGGAACTATCAATAGAGGTACCTGGATTCAACTAGATCTATCAATGGAGGTACCTAGATTAAACTAGAGCTATCAATAGAGGTACCTGGATTCAACTAGATCTATCAATGGAGGTACCTAGATTAAACTAGAGCTATCAATAGAGGTACCTAGATTAAACTAGAGCTATCAATAGAGGTACCTGGATTCAACTAGATCTATCAATGGAGGTACCTAGATTAAACTAGAGCTATCAATAGAGGTACCTGGATTCAACTAGATCTATCAATGGAGGTACCTAGATTAAACTAGAGCTATCAATAGAGGTACCTGGATTCAACTAGATCTATCAATGGAGGTACCTAGATTAAACTAGATCTATCAATGGAGGTACCTAGATTAAACTAGAGCTATCAATAGAGGTACCTGGATTCAACTAAATATATGCAGATGTGACTGGAACTACCTCTGGGGTCAATTAAATGCAAATAAATGAAATAGAAACACATTTATAACAAATAATCACAGTACACAGAAAGTTCACCTTTAAACTTTGAAATAAGGAGTTTTATTACAAAACAGCAATTTACTATTCTGTTATAAAATAAACCTTAAGTATATCCAATAAACAATAACATTACTGTGTCATAAATGCACTATATGAGCAAACACATTTGGATGGAATACTTAAATAAACAACTTTGGTAATACTGCCCAAATACATCAGGACATTATTTATTATAACACCTTTACATGCAGATCAGTTACACTTTAATTTAACAATATTGATAATAATGCCCCCAAATTTAGAGCAATATTGTTAGTAATCAAGGTATTGAAAATATTTTTTTTTAAATTGATAAAAAGGGCTTTGAAATTTTGAACTTACATTTTTAGTGATTTCCTGAGAAAAAAGGGAGGGGCACAATATGAGGGCTAGGTAATTTTTTTCAACAAATACATGCTTTACCGGGTTTAGACAAAAGGAGGTAAACATGCATTATATTGAAGTCAAATCCAGACAAGTATTTCAGAACACACATTGTGATAGCGCCCTCTCAAAGTGAGAGTGCTATGTCAGCATGTCAGAGGGAATTGATAACAGGCAGGAATACATAACGTTCTTAGCAGAACTGCAAAAAGTTTTCATCATAAAAACTGGATTCCCCTACAAATTTAAATATAAATATTGGTTTTAGTTATGAAAAAAACAAATTGAAAATATTTTAAGTAATTTGTAGTTACACGTCAGCTGCTCCAACGACCTCTGACCCAGACATTTACATATATTTACAAAACAATGTATATATTTACATATAATGAATTACAGCAGAAATATAAATAACTTAAATAGTTTCTGAATTTCCTTTGGTGCTCTTTAAAATCTAGCAGACTGGACGGTGCTGAAAAAGTATATAATTGGAGCAAGTGGTATTCACGATCATGATAATACCATGAAATTAAACAACTGGAGTCATGCTGATATAGTTTTTATGTATATACATCACACAAAGGGAAAAAAATCTAAAAACGTAAATCAAATATTGCAAACAAATACATACTATTGGAAGTTTTTTTGTAATGAATATAACTGTACAATGTGTGGAAAGCTGTAATTCAGCTAACCATTCAAGTAAATATTTAGTACATACTTGCGACCACGCCTGATGTCTTATCATAATTATTCGGATTTTGTAAATTATATTTTATTAATTTTTCTCATTAAACAAGAAGTTGGGCAGGTCCCTATCAATGATTTAAATCTATGTGATCATATAAGTTGTCCTACTGTAGAACTTATTTCACCAGTAAATCTGTGATTTGAAAACCCAGAGAATATGCCTCAAAATGCAAAAAACCCCCAAAAAATTGATTTTACAGTGTTGGTAACAAATGATACAGAATATTTAATCAGTGGATGCATAAAATGAGAATAAATAATCAATTACAAATAACAATCGGTGTACAACTTATTTCAAATCTTATGGTCAATAAATAGAAACCTTAAGATTTGGTTACACCAACCTATTTAATATGCACCTATGACCTTTGACCTGGCCATTATTTGCAATAAAGTACAATTATTGTTATAAACACCTACAATATGAAACATGATATCAGCACCATTAAAAGAGAAACTTAATTTGTTCATCAAATTTAATCATGATTTGAGGCATGTGCCAAACTATCGACCAAGACTTTAAATCTAGCAACTGGAATTTTACAACTAAATAATTTATTTAAATTACATTATATGATACTGATAAAAACAGAAAGTGATAGTATATAATATACAGGTTGTCGTAACCTAAAATCAGGTGAATGGGCTTAAAATTGTCATCAAGTTGAACCCTTTTGTAACCCACAATCGAGTTTCGCTTCGGATTCATTCACTTCCATTAATCCCTATGAACGCCATCATTTTTCCTATCATAAAGTGGGTGCCATATTCAGCACACTTTTATGTGTATTTCTATTATTTTATTTATTTATTTTGAAACAAAATCAGATCAGAATTTGTTTGAACAAATTTCGAAAATACTTTGTTAAAAGTGACAAGGAATGATTTTGGTATAAACAGTTTACAAACATTGATTTAAATATTCAATATCACATGTTGATTGTTTTATCTATGAAAGAACATTTTCGGACATCGACAATATGCTGCAGCACTGAAGAGTGAAAGATCTTTGAGTCTGAGAAATGGGGGGTGGGTGGGTTTTCTTTATGCCATATTGTTCAGAATCTAGGTACCTCATTATCTAGATTTTTAAATGAGGGGGGGGGGTTAACATACAGCATATGTATTCCCACATATGACGTATCATATCGATGACAACCATCGCAATATAGCTGCAATGCATTATGAGATATGTATGCAAATTACTTCAAAAATATGGAGTAAATTTTTTTTTTTTTTTTTTTACAATCTCATTCTTCAAGACAAAAGTCAATAATTGAATATTCTGCATAGGAATATTTGTCAGAAAGCGTCCAGTAACAAATAATAGCATACATGCTGAAACATTTTGCAGTGAAGTGGACACCACAGCACATTGGTTATGGTATTTCAGTTAAAATTAGGAAGCACATCGCATTAATACTGCATTTTTCTCGTAACATTAGAATTCAACACAAATGTCCTTCGCAGGCCACACCACAGGACATCACGTTATCTTCTGGAAATAATACAGTCATAGGACACTATTTCAATACTACAATGTCATACTGGTATAAAACCTATTAGAACAGAAACATTGATCCGTTAAGTGGCCAGGACAAAGTTATAGTCACCTAATGTGCGTAGAAAGTACTAATCTTCTTTCTAACTTAAAATTGCAATTGGATGCTGGCAATGTCTTCTCTACATGTACTACGGGAGGAAGGTTGAACTCCTGTAAACAGGCGTGACATCAGTAGCTGCAGAAACCTATACACATAATTTTTTTAAGTGGCTTCTTGAAATTCGATACAAAGCTGAATCCACCTTCCTGAAGAGGTCACAACAGGGAGTCAGGTCATTGGCATTGTATTATCTTCCTCATAGGAATAGTAAACAAGACATTCATAATATCAAGTTTCCTGGGAACATACTAGTTCTCTATTATGCAAGTGGAGCTTGCCAGGTAGTTTATCCAGTGTCTTCTTCAATCCAAGCTACTATTTTACCTTCCCATCCCGGGATAAAGTCATCATCGCCTGAAATCTACAAGAAAAGGTGTGGAAATTGTGAGCACTGGTTGAATGTCTATCTGCAATAGTGCTCCTGATATGACATCATACAAGCAGACAGATGCTGGTAACCACTGTATTCCCCGCCCACAATACCGGGGGGGGGTTGGGGGGGGTGTAATAAAATCGTAATCGAATTTTATAATGCAACTTTAATTGTTACCTCTTCTTTAACAGTTCCAAATTCTGGATCCAATGCTTTGAAGTGAAATCTGTAGTTGCCTTGGCGATCATAAATCTCTTTAAAATCTCTGAGTGTAATTTCACCAAGTCTGCAAATAAAATGATTCACATTAGAAAAAAGTCGGTGAATGAACAAAGACAAAGTTAACGACGAGGACAACAACAACAATGACGTTGACCTCAACAGTTAACTACAAAATATTCTGTATCTTCTCAGTTTTGATATTCCATTTAGTATTGTTCTTAGTATTGTTTCTATGATGATACACTAATGAGATAAAGTTACCTTTTTGGTATGGAAGACATGAACGGTGTGACAGTTCTTTCCGTAAAGTACAGTACTTTGGTGCAGGGGATAGAGGTGGGTCCATTAGTAGTGTATGGAGGCACACCACCATAACCACCTGACACTGAAACAAACAAAGGATAAACATTTAAAACTTCTGAGAATTAAATTTTAGTGGAAAAAAACATTTCCACATTTCAATCATTTAAAAGTACGAGAATAAATCTCTGCAAAAATTGTTGCCGATGAAAATTTTACAAAAATTTACTTTTTAAAGATGTTATTGGTGATCTTCTAGGATCCCTATCTGGGGGGTAACCACGGTAACGTGAAACACTTTCGGTGGAACTCTGCAATAAAAAAAAAAATCAATACATACTGCTTTAAAAGACCAGAGTTTTTTTTTTTAAAGGAAAGCGGACAATCTCAGAAATTGTGTCATGGAAAATAATGTTATGGAAAATATACACAGTATATTGATCTGTTTGATGTTGTAATCAGATAAAGATAAGCTTATGCAAATTACAATATCTATTCTTCAAGGTATTTGTCATTTTATTTTCCAAAGTTGAATATAGTGCAGTGTTACCTACCGAGTCACTATTTCGCCGCGAGCGTGTTTTTATTTTGTCAACTAAAGTTGCTATACTCTGCAAAATAAAAAATACACAGTAATTAAATATATGAATACATCATGACAATAAATCAAATGATTCAATGTTCATTGGAACCTATGACAACAACTCAGTTTGTGTTTGTGTGTAAGCTTTAGATAAAAAATACGATACCTGTTCTAACGAATCTAACGTATGGTGCTGTGGATCATGGCCGCTAAAACTAGCGCGAAGGTTACGTAAAGCGTCTCTCATCACCTGCAGCTCCTCGCCAATCTGAAACAAGGTCAAAACGAATATTAGTTTATTATAATCAACTTCCACTCCACTATTACTGGATGTTAGTTAAACTGTTGTAAATACGCTTTTGGTGTCATTAATAGGTTGTAACATGTACATAGCAAAAATATCTAACTATATTTTCATTCAGAATTAATTTTCGCTATTTTCGCTGAAGGAATAATTCAGTGAAAATAAAATCCAGCGAATATACCTTTTTTCCTGTATTTCACATTCAACTTGTCAAAAATCAGCGAAAATAAATTTAATATAAAACGCCCAATAAGTCTTTTCAACGAAAATTAATTCCAGCAAAAATAAAGTATTTTACAGTATAAGAGTATTGAGTGCTTTCTTTTCATAATAATCGATAATTATTTTAAAGTAGAATTTTACTAGTTTAAACATATTTCAACACATACAACAGCGACAATATTTTGTGTCAAAATCTGTTTATTTCTTTTTGTATTAGCCAACGATACATGGACTTTTAATTCATTGTCTATCTGTTTTCACAGCAGTTCACAATGACAATTTTGTTATTAAAAACCCACTAAAAATAATGCCAATTTATTTAATACTTCGAAACATGAACAAGTACATTGCCAGACACAATATATAATTTTTTCATGACATCTTCCAAAATTTGGAGATATTTTGATATATCCTGGCCATGGGAAACACAATGGTAAAAAACCTAAAAACAGACAAAACATGCTATTTTGGTAAAAACAACATTATATTTATTATTGAGTAGCATTCTACTTTAATTACACAAACCAAATTATTTGTTATATTATAAATTTAAAAGTTATTTGGAGTCATAGAAAAGATCTTCAGTCAAATAACTCACCTCTATTTGGTACGAATGCTGAGTGATGTCATTGACTTGTAAAAGTTTCCCTTCTAACTTAGCCATCATTCTATCCTGAACTGCTACACGGCTGGCAATGTTAGACTGTAAAATAAACAAAATAAAATTCCAGCTAAATGCACTCCCCTTCATTTCAATGAAAATGTCCTATGTATTGATTAGTGTATAAAGTATTTGTCAATAAAGCTATGTATGGATTGACTTAATTAAGCATAGGACAGCTTTTAAAAAAAATTGTCTTCAACCAGTATCTGAGATATATCATAATTTATTGTAAAATATTTTGGCAAGAATTAATTTTAGATGAAAAGAATTATTGGGTGTTTTTTATGGAGTTCATTTTCACTGATTTTTAATGAATATGATGAAAAAGGTATAATCACTGGATTGTATTTTCACTGAATCATTCGTCAGGGAAAATAAAGTATTTTACAGTAGCACAAAAAGCAATTATTTCAGGTCAGTTGACCAATCAAATGGAACCATACAAACTGACCAATGAGATGTCATCAGAAGTAACCATACAATTGACCAATCAAATGGAACCATACAAACTGACCAATGATATGTCATCAGAAGTAACTATACAATTGACCAATCAAGTGGAACCATACAAACTGACCAATCAAGTGGAACCATACAAACTGACCAATGAGATGTCATTAGAAGTAACCATACAATTGACCAATCAAAGGGAATCATACAAACTGACCAATCAGATGTAATCAGAAGTAACCATACAATTGACCAATCGAAGGGAACCATAAAAACTGACCAATCAGATGTCATCAGAAGTAACCATACAATTGACCAATCGAATGGAACCATACAAACTGACCAATCAGATGTCATCAGAAGTAACCATACAATTGACCAATCGAATGGAACCATACAAACTGACCAATTAGATGTCTGCAACAGGACATACCTCTGAAATTCCTACAGTTCCTAATCGTTCACTTAGGTCTTTTATTTGCGTCTCTAAACACGTTGTAGTATCATCTCGTTCCAGCACCTCATTTTGTAGTTCGATCTGGTTGGAGGAAAAAAGAGCATACTAATAAATAATTTTGTGAAAAGATTTTTCCTTCAAGCTTTCAAAATGTTAACAGAGACAAACAAAATTCAAAAGTTTTGACTTGTGACTAACTCTTCACTTATTCACTCTGCAAGGAAGCTGGCTCACAGCACAATCATATCATGGACAGCGCCATCTAGTGGCCAATGTCAGAATTTCTTTCACTTTATTCCATTATAAACAACAACACCCTCTCTTGGCTAATGCTTCGCTGGTTCCCGGCGTCCTTTGCGAACGGCAGGTAGGACGCAGGTAACTAGTAATCGCCATAATGTTCCATTTGGGCCGGTTTTCCGACTCAAAAGCACGTGACTGGGTGAAGTAATTTGAAAACATTCCAAGTTCCGTTCTGCGTAAACGTGTTGTAATACTGCAATAAAGCCATGTCCATTTATTCTGCCTGCTTCGACTTACATACATATTTGAGATGTTTCTGACATTCCTCGTTGTTTCTGTGCAAATTTATAACAAAAGTTTTTTATTTATTTTTGTTATTTCGAAAGTAAAAGAAAACCCCTGAACGGCCACGAGCGTAAGCGCTGACGTCAGGTAACCAAGGGAAATAGAACAAGCAAAGAGAAAGTGATGGACCAATCGGAATGCCGGATTCGTTACTAGTTACCGGCCTCTTGTGGCTTGGTACGCCATGACACTTGAGGCGGGAACCAGCTAAGGCTAATGTTAACAATTCCCTTGGCAAATTCACTCAAATTACTTACTTTTAAATTATTCATGTCTTGCAACTGCCTTGTGATTTCATCTATTTGTAATTGCTGATCCGTAAGTAGTTTGTTTTTCTGTTGAATCTGGCGGGTCATGTCAGATATTGAACGACTTTTTTCCTCCAACTTCCTCCTAAGTTCAGCCTAGGGAAGTGAAAAAGTATTATCCGTTAATCGCAGGAGTTAGACAAAAAAAATAACTTTTTATTTTAACATTTTTAAGTAACATAACAAATATAACAATTTGTATCTACAAGAGTTTCAGTGTTCCCTGAGGCAAATTTAGCATTAAGAAATGTTTTCATTTCACCAAAACAAAATACATTACAAAGAAAGTTACTGAGAAATCTTGTCAACTGACTGCAAAAATTAAGCGGGAATAAGGATTCAGATGCAAGTCTCGTCCACTCAGGGTACTCAAGGATCGGGAAATTGGACAGATAATTGCAAATAATATCAACTCAAATGTTGCCAATCATCCAGGGATCAAGTGAGATCGCTTGCTGGATTTCTTTTATACATTAGATAGTGACAATCTGTGACTATCTATGGGGCATTCATCAGTTGATGTATTAAGGCAGTCCTGATTAATTAAAGTTTCCGAAAGTTCATCTGTGACAAACAAAATGAAGGCTCATGAACTCCCAAGCATTAGTTACAGGCAAAAATACATAATAGAAGTTGGCAAGTTACTCGTGTATATACTCACGTTTTCTGCTTCTAAGTTTTGTTGCGTAAAACCAATTCTGAGAAGTTCAGCTTTGAGTTGAAGAAGAGAATTATCCTGTTCTGTAAGTCTTGTGTGTAATCCAGACTGTACGGGTAAAAGAAGACACAGATTGATATTGATACACTCCAAACAGTAAAATGGTTTTCTGGAGAATGATTTGAAGATTTGATCTGCTAAGCATATGTATTTATAGAGTAAAAACAATCATGAGTAGATAATGTCAGGTAACTTTTGTAACCATGGTGACATGCAATATTAAATAACTTCCACAATTTATATTTTGTATTCCATTTGTTCAAGCATTCAAATTTTCCCTAAAAACTAAAATATTTAAATGTGTTCTATTGACATAACATTCAGATACTTTTCTTCTGACATGTAGGCGCGAGTGTGGCCTTTGCCGGTATGGCATCAGACCTCACTAACGTCTGATGGAATAGTGTATGTCTTGTCGGCAAGATCAGGTCTGTGAATTTGCAAAGTTCATGCCTTCTTGCAATGAGTTTCAATTAATATTCATTTTGGTTGCCATGGTTACGTTCTCAATCAAAACCTTGTTTGCATTATCGGCAAAAATCACAGACTGATTTTAACAAGATGATGAACATTGGGCGGGAATAACTCTGCAGTGAATGGTTACTTTTTGATGGCTGATGTTCCTGCAATTTGATTGGTACTGACAAAAAATCATCAGGGGAAATGAAAAACTACATTGTTCTGTCAGGCATGTGTTGGGTTTGGAGCACTGCTGAGCGCAACTCATGCATCCTTGTCAGGCTAATTTGACACACGATCCTGTCAAAGTCCACAAAACATGTGCATAGGGCAAAACAGTTTTCAACATTTTGGGGCTGTTATCTCATGTAATTATTACTACAGACATAGAAAAATTAAAATAATGAAAAAGTTATTGCAAGAACACCACAATGTAGGCACTCAGGCAGTACTAGTATGTAAATGCAGTGACCTCCGAAATGGGATCTTCATTACAAATCACCACAGTTGTATAGTTTTATCTTATGTTGCAATCTTCAGCACAAGTTATCTATGCCGCATAACCTTATCATTCAGGTAGTACGTGATCGTAACAACCCCCACAATGCAATCTTCACAAGTCACCAAAGCCGTCAAGCATTATCTCTTCAATAACCTTTTTAGCACATATTAATTCATGATTGTGGAGACAAATCTTTGAGTCACATGATGCTTATATCTTAGCATGTTTGACCAGCAGTTGAGTTCGAAGTACCCTGGCCTAAGTTATCATCGATAATGAACTGATATTAAAATGTCTAAAGTTCATTTTGATAGCGTTAGACGTATTTATATAACAATGATAGTTGGTAGTAAATAAATAAATAAAACTATTGCACATTTATCATCCAAATGTTTTTTAAATCACACATTAAATATCACTAGACTAGTTATCTACCGGTAGTTATCTATAAATAGCAGTTTTAAAAATCAACTGGTTTTTTACTTTAGCTTAATGACCGACCATTTTGAATGACTATCTTACAAACAAACAAATTTCAATGACAAAATTTCGAACTAGTAATCTCAATTTAGCAATAGAAAAAGGAAGGCATATGCAACCAAAAATACCTACTGAAAATAGAATTTGCAAACAATGTACACAGAATGAAATAGAAGATGAACTGCACTTTGTTATGAAATGTCCACAATATAAAGTAATACGCCAACAAATTGTACAAGACATTATATTTCCACAAGAAACACAGGATGATCTCCAGAAATTTAATTTCTTGATGACTTCAAAAGATGATGTAATAATAAAAAAGATTGGCAACTATAATTCATTACTCATTTCAATCAAGAAATGAAAATGCCATTTGATATGTAACACTTGCTTTATCTTTTTTTAACAACTAACTTTCTTTTTGTAGTAGTAGTTATCACAACTAATCTTTATTGCTATTAACTGATAGAAACATTGTATTTCTAAGGATGCAATAAAGTTATTATCATTACTATAACACATTTCTGTTTCTTGTCATGTCACATCAGTTACTAAATATGAGCCTCACAGCCATTTTGGTGTTAGTCTGAATTTCGGAAGAAAAAAAAATGTTAATGATCACTGATTTGATCTTTCTCATAAAATTCAGAACCATCAATAAATAGCTGTAGTATAATGTGAAGTGCTTTGTTTTGTGACATTTATTAACAATTTTCACAAGTAAAAAACACTGAATTTTAAAGCAGTACAAATTTCTCTGGAGTCATAGAACATGGAGTTGTCAGTGACTTTCTCAAGATAGTATTATCTTCAAGAATGCCGCAAAATCTAGAAATCCGGAAAATTAAACAACAGTTATGCATTTAAAAGAAAACAGTAGACATCTTACCTTAACACCCTGTAGATTTCGGCATTCTTGTTTACTTTTCGTAAGTTCCACTTTAAAATCGGCACATTCTGAGATACTCTGGTCTAACCGGGACTGTAAGACAATCTATAAAGGCAACAGAAAAAGATTAATAAATAAATAAAAATATTTGCAATCCCAAAAAATATGCACATTCCACATTTTGATTAAACACATGATGTTTTATAAATACGATTTTTTGAAAACACACACATACAGAGAGGGTAACTGCAAAGACTCCCATTGTGTGCTTCACACACGGGAGTAAAAAATCCCATTATTAATTATAAAATAAGAATTATTAAAGACGTAATTTTAATTTAATAAAGGGGTCATAGCAATACTAACCCAAATACTAAATTTGACAAGGTTAAACTATTTGATAGGTTAACACCTATAAAACAAATTTATTCAGGAAATTTCAAAGGGTTGAATCAATAAAGATAAATATTGTCATGGTAATATGTGATTGATATGACAAACAATTCAAAATTAACATAGATATGAGAGACTCGATACTTCTTACAAACTGGAGACCAAATCAGACTATGATTTTGTCATAAACTAAAAATGTGTCATTTGCAGGACACACAGCAGTAGTTGTTAAATAAAAAATAAAAACTACCATGTCGCACACACGGGAATCAAATCCTAAATAATGATAACAACATATCCCTTAGTATACGGAAAGGCCCATGGGTAGACGGTTGTTAAAAAACGACACGCTAAAGCCGTCTGCCGTATGTGCATGTGACGAATTCCACACTTTAGGATATTTATATTTGCATTATTAGTAGTAAGTATACATAACAGTGGTAAGGTGATGATAAGTCATATTTTAAGAACCTAGTAAACAACAATTTTATTTATGTGTACATAATTAAAGTAAAAAATTTGTTTAAACAAAAGACTCATCAGAATTAACCATTTATACTTGTATTAATCAGTGATGCTTCAAAATGGAATACAGGAATATTCCGTAAATCTCAGAGTTGGTCATAATATAGGCCCTGTCAGATTAATAAGGTATACACATAATGTGATAAATACACTACTTACCACCTGCTCTTTGGGATTCGTTCCTTCAAATAAAATCTGGTCTTCTTCGGCGTCTGACGCATCACCATCACCAATCTGACCATTTAATAACTACAATAAACAGTAAATAATGTCAGCAAAGTGATACAAACAATTAGATGTCTCAATCAAGTTCGAATTTTTAACGCATGACGACTGACGCTTTGTAAGCTCACAATTTTATTCAGAATCAGTAATGAGGGCGCTCTTTCAAATTATGACAAAAATTATAAAAATATGATATTCTATACCTTTAAAAGGATTCATAGTAATACAGAATGGCCTTTTGTGATACCATATTTGGATGTGGCATCCTCTATGCCAAGACCGAGAAACATTTTGGCAATTCAGCACATTTTACTTTCATTAATGCATGTTTAATTAACAGGGAAGACAACAACGATGACAATGACATGAATCAAAATTTATGTGACCTGACTTACCAAATCTTGAAGCATAATAACAGCTTTCTTAGTGTCCTCCAATTCTTTTGCCATAGTGCTCTGTTCATCTTGTAAATCATTCCAAAAGGACGTTGACGAACACTGCGAACTCCTATCATCGTAACCGCTACCTACAAAATCAGAACACAATCATTAGGATTCAGATTGCGTAGATATGGAGCCTTAATTATAGCCTTAAGTCGGTGAAAATCTTGAAATTTTGGAGTACTGATAATTTCTCTGGGGCTCTATGAATTGGAGTGTGAGCACTTTCGCAAGATTGTGTTTTCATAAATGCCATAAAAAATCGCAAAATCACGAAAATTCCTAGGAGTAAAAATTAAGCAGTTTACAGTACTCATCATGTAACATCTTTTGTGATAGGCATAATTGTATCTAATTATATCGGCTTCATGAATCGGATTAAAACATTTATCTGTTCCATTATAAATTTGAATATACTGATTTTCTGAAGAAGATTTTCTCTGTGAATGATGAAAATTATTGAAGACTGGGACAGGATTTATATCTGTATACCAGCCACTGTCAGTATGTAAATATTCATTGTTGTGTGATCCCTTCCTTCGCATATGCACAGTTCTGATGACAGTTTCACTCTTATCATGGCAGTCAAAGACAACATCAGTATGATCAGCTAATAGTACAAACAACCTAACACTAAAATATGCAGCACTATCCATTCAATCAGACTTCTCCAGTAACCACACCTACCCTGATCGGAATCCGAGGCTCTACCACTACTGTTGTTAGGTCTACTGGGATGCGGTGAATAAGAAGCTGGCATAGTGGGTTGCTGTTGCTGCTGATGTGCTTGTGGCGGCGGCGGTGGAGCGCGTCTTCTTTCCTGCATTCTCATGGATGGTGTCGAGCCAATAAAACTTGATGACGGACTGTGATGTGCACTACTTCCCGGACTACTCACTGGACTGTCAAAATCTGTGAAACGATCCCTGAATTGACAAGAAATAGAGGAATTGTTTAATTTCATCTATGAATGAGTACATTTAATACAAGTCATTGTTAATGTTATACTGTAGAATACTTTATTTTCGCTTGGAATTTATTTTCGCTATTTTCGCTGGAGGGATGATTCCGTGAAAATAAAATCCAGCGAATATACTTTTTTTCTAATATTTCACATTAAACTCATCAAAAATCAGTGAAAATAAATTCCATACAAAACGCCCAAAAAGCCTTTTCAGCGAAAATTAATTCCAGCATAAATAAAGTATTCCACAGTAGTCCCCATTAGAATTAGGGGAAATGTTATTCATGCCAAAAAAAAAGTAATATGAACCAAAAGGATAGTTGGTAATTTAGAGTGAATAATTGGCTGGTCTAGTATCATTAGAAATTAGATGTAATATATGACTCTTCCAAAATCGTAATACATGGTCAGAAATTAAACAGGATATGCTATTCAAGCATTTTTTGTATACAAACTGAATTTCATTTGTTCAGACTCATGTACAGAGATATAGTAGTATGGTCAAAAAGCAAGACTGCAGGCAGTCAACCATCATTGATGAGAAAATAAATGTAACGGACATGTACATGTATCCTAACATGTATAATTTGAAGAGAAAAGAAACATTTTCAATGATTCATTTTGAAAAAACAAGCTGGCTGCCAGTAGATCATTCTGGATTTGAATATGAAATGAATCATCATAGACATGTAATCTAAAACTTACAATGTGTATAACAAATTTGATTTGAAAATGACAAACCATGTCCATGATACAACATTTCTAAAAAACAAGAGGGCTGCCAGTTAGCCATCTTTGATCCGATCACAAAACGAATTGTCATAGACATGTCTCCAAAACATGTATAATGTCATGTATATACCAAATATGAACAAAAACTGATAAAGCATGCATAAGATACCACATTTTCAAAAACTAAATGGGTGCCAGTCGGCCATCTTGGAATAAATCAGTAAACCACAGCATGTACATATGTCTCACGAAAAGTACTAGGTACATGCAAAAAATGAACAGATTTGAACCACAGGTTTCTGAATTAACTGAATAAACTAATAATCCTTGTCATCTTCACTAAGTTGAGAAAGGATTCAGCAATATATTAAAGACTATTTTCTTTTAGCAGTTAAGCACACCTCCTATCAAGTCATTCATGTATGTTGCTACATAACACCTGAAAATAAGATTTATAAAAACAAAACAAAAATGCTGTTTTTAAAAAACGAAGTGTGTGTACATTACCTGACTCTAGGGGGTCTGATTGGAGGTGTACTGCTTGGACTTGAACTGTGTACATGGTTGCTTCTGTGGACGAAGAAATTATTTCAATTTTATTGAAATGCAGAAAAATCATTGTTTGTTAGTAAATACAACTGATACTAAAATTACTAAGCTTATAGCTTTCATATGACACTGTGGTATTGTTCACAATAATTCAGGGATATAAGTACTGGCTGGTAGGCTGGTTGGTGATTCGCTTCACTCAAGCGTTTGGAAGGGGCATCCTAGCAGAGCGAATTGTTAACAGTTGCAGTTGCGTTAGTATTGTAGTCTTCGATCAATAACAAAAATAGCATTTCTTTAGAAATATACTACTTTCCTAGACAAAATTTTGACCACTCATCAGTTTTCAGTACTGTGTATAGTTTACATAAGGTATCTACCATAAATATTGGGTGGCATTTTTGGAAAAATTAATCATTCCTGGTGCCTAAATTGTCAAATTTATGTTTTTTTGAAGTCACTGACGATTATTCAGGATATAACGTTTATTGTGACTGTACTGCTAGCATGAATAGGTAAACTCAGTTTTGTCATTGAGTTGTTATCACAGTCAAAAAGGATGAATACATTTTTATTGCTCAGTTTATCTTCCAATAAATACTAATTTCCTGATTTTTTAAATAAAATATCTATGGCAATAATAATAATCAGTACTGTGTACACTATTGCTGACTTTCAGAAATTCCAGAATATTTTCAGGTTCAAAACATTATTTATATTGAGACACAGCCACATATCAAAAATAATAAAGTTTTTAGGGTAAGTGTGGTACCTTTGGTCATTTCTATTGTGGTGATGGTGGTGGTCCCTGTAGCGTCTTGGTGCTTGGCCAGCATTCGCCATTTCATTACGCATGTCCCTCAATCCAGCGGCAATATCAGCGGCGACAGCAGCAGCGGACGGCGTTCTCTGTACCGGTTTGTGACCCGTGGCTTGTTTGACACTACTTGGTTTGTAGTGGGCAGCTAACGCCAAGATTAATCGCATTATTGCTTTCAAATTACCCTCACTTATATCTGTAATGTAAAATAAAATAATATAGTATGCTACGAATGACGATCCAGCAAATAACTCACCACTAATACTGTTTTCGGGCGTTCACTATAGGCAGTCTTGATGTGACGTCATAGGATTACAGTATGCAAATGTCTGATAACACTACTCACACGTATGAGCGCTAAGCGTAAACTAGTGCTACATCCTATACATCCACAGAACAAGATTCTAACTCTAGAGGGCTCACTTTCAAATCATGCATAATTATGTTTAGATATTATGAATTGATAACCACTCTATATTCTATCCTGCTTTGACATAAGAAGTGAACTGTAGAAGGTGCTATATATCCTCTAGAGGGCGCATTTTGATTCAAATACGTAAATGCTTAAAGTATGAGGGAACACTTTAATATGAAAGTTTGTACATACCTTTGGCAGCTGTGTGATGCATTCGTATTTTTTTGGATGCCATGAATTGTAAAACCCTTTCTATATTTGCTCGCATTGCTACATGACTCTGTGGATTGAAATCAACGCCTGATAACGTCTCTCCCGCTGAAACAAAAAATGAAAAACAAAAATTTCAATACTTTTCATTCATCATAAAAGCCATATTCGCTATGTTACTGTACGTTAATGGTCGAAAGAAATCATATTTTAACGATCAGCAATTTTTGGTTTACGTGTTGACTTTGGGGAAACTTAATGATTGAGGTCAACCAGGCCTGGTTGATGTGGGGATAAACTTACAGACTATCTCCACGAGATGGACCAATAAGACGCCATCTTGCATATCCAGCCGGAGGTCTTCCACCAATCGGCATCCTTGCCTCTTCTTCAACTGGGAGTTAGCCCATGCTACATAGGCTTGTAATTGTTGCTATGGAAACAAACAAAAAAAACAAAAAAATAAGTTACAATTTTGTTACACTTTTACTTTTATTCAGGGAATAAACTTTGTTTATCGAGACATCAGCAGGCTGGTACTGTACTCACACGTGAATACAATACAAGTGGCTTATAAAACATTAAATGTAATATTTCAGCTCCACTGTTAATGTTTTCGATCCTTTGATGTGATATGTGATGTGTAATGTTCTATAATTATCTCAGTATGCCATTAATAACACACACTATATGAGATGATGAAATAGTGTTATTTTTTTCAGAGTAGGGAAGGGGGTTCTACTTCAGTATGTACGTAGACGATAAGTGTGGTTACAATGATTAGGTTTTTACGAGGATACCGAAAAGTATGCAAGCAGTATCGACCGACACGCAGCGTACTGTCTGAGTGCATACTTTGCGTTATCCTCGTATTAACCTTATTATTATACATCTTTTCCTCCCAAGGATACATCATGGGAATGCCGATATACAAAAAGTTTAAAACAGAATCAGCAAACTTCTTTGTGTGGAACCCTGGTGGCAGCCATGTTTGTTTTTATTATTAGAGGATGCTTACACGCGTAATCATTCCATATTTGGAATTCGCATTATTTTATATCATGGGATGAAAATACCCTGTAAAATACTGCAGAATTACGGCACGCTGTAACTTATGGCGTTACCGATACAGATGTATAATAATAACTTTTATTATTTATATTATTACTCTACAGGTACCATCTGAGTGTACTGTATGGTAAAGGCAAAACATATATTAAAATACATTTGTTATATGACCTTTTCTAAAAGTGAAGATTGAACCCTGACCTCTGAAAGTCAATCATTTCACTCTTTACATATATAAGAGTGATGGAATATTTTATAATTTTCAATAAATAAAAGAACAATAATTTGTAATTTGGTTTTCATATCAATTGTTCACCTTGTTATTTTTACCAGAAATGCTCAGAATAATTTTTTTTAAACTAAATTTTGACCATGAAATATAAAAGTTGTTAAATTTTATCTCCTCGGAATTGGTTTAAAAGCATATGACTAGAAAGTTACGCAAAACAATTTGTACAAAAATTTATCAGAAAATTATTTTTAATAATTTTTCACAAAAATGTTTTTATATTTTAATTAGAATGATTGAATGGGAACTACATGTATATCGTAATGAAAATTATTTATAGGTTTAAAAATTTTCTAGCAGTCTGTTTATCGAGAAACCTTGAACTTTCACATTTGGTCACCTTTCATACAACGTATATTAAACCAGTATCATTATTTATGAAAATTTTAATCAAAATCTGTAGGAAATAGGACATCATATCAATCTGGTCTAAAATTAACGAAGAAATTACAGAAAAATAAATTAAAAATGACAAAATGTGACTCCAACAATTTGGCGGGAAAAATTATGACATTCAAAAGATTAAGAGGGAGAATTGAATCATTCTGGTACATATCAATCAAAAGAGAAAGGAATGTCAAAAAACTGATAAAATGATTCTGCCAGGCATGAGTCACTGATTATGACAGACAACCTCTCAGCAAAAGTGATAGAGAGTTGTTATGATCAACATCTTAACAGTATCGCAGAACTTTAGCCTAGCTACGTAGAGGTCAGAAGCTATGCAGAGAATGTCCTATTTAAATATCATGCTGAAACGAAGTGGCAAAAACAAGTGATTAAACTTTAAAACTACTTGAAATATAGAGTAAAAGAGAGATTTAAAACTTGCTGAATTGAGGTTCTGGTAAGCCTGGAAGATGGACAACATTCCTTGACAAAACACCATGGCCTCCCAAGTTATCTGTAATGGGACATTCCATTCTGTATCATCCCTCCCACTGTACCAAACCACAAATGAGTTTAACTCTTGTCGGTACAATTTAAAACAGATAAAAGATGTCGAAAGCCAAATATCCGATCTCCAAGTGAAGTGCAAAAACAGCCTCATATATAAGGGGGTGGTAGCAAATAATGTAACAGCAAGACTTCTAAGATTTCTCCAGTTGGTAGACACAACTGATGTAACAGCACAGAGTGAGTTATGGGATGTGTAATGGACCTTTGCCAAGCAGCTATAACTTGATACCCTTCATCTACATTTCTGCATGTTGTATTTCAGGCGAAGTATAATGACATGATAGCCAATTTGGGAGAAAAAATGCCATTGTTCTTTTCCAGAATAGTATTTTGTATTTTGGGCCTACAGAGAAAATTAGGTATTGTATTTGCTCTATGAGTAGTACAGTCATTTAAGTAAATAACACCGGTGTGTTTATGGTCAAAATAAGTCATATTTTAATAATCCAGTATACAATACTGTATTTGCTATATTAATAGTGCAGTCACTTACGTAAATCACAGTGGTGTGTCCATGGTCAAAATAAGTCATATTTTAATAATTAATGTATTTTTTTTTTAGTCAAGTTTTTAAAGAAGTAGATTTTTGAAGTTTTTGGAGGTTTTTAGATAATTGTTTATTTTAAATATTTATTAATAGTATGTCATAACATATTTCACAGTGATATGAACCACACACCACATTCTTTGGCTTCCATTACATTGCAATACCATGTTTTCTTGTAATAATGATCCTCTGGTTTCAAATTTGTAAAATGTCACTTTTTTTGACAGAGCACGGAGGTTATACAAGAGGTAATGAATAGTTTAATAATTATGTTTTTTATTTTATTGAGCCTGATTTATCAAAAAAAAAAAAAAAAAATGTAATGGTAAAAACATATTTAGCAGTAATGTGAAGGAATAGATATACATTGGGTTTACTTATCAGCAGATCAGAGCTAGCGTGGCAGCTGTGAGAGGCTTGTTTTTCCTATACATTCATTGGTGGGGGTCTTTTGTTGATTTGAGCTCAGATGTAAAAACAGCAGATTTATCAGTTGCAGAGATATTCATGAGGTTTTAAATTCAACAATAAACACAGAACTGAATTATTCAAGCACTGTAAGGAAATTATACTAAATTTTAGTAAGCTAAATGAACTGGAAAAATTCAAAGCAAAGTTTCAAAGTTTGTTTTAGTGTTTTTTTATGATTGATTTTTAATTTGGTGCATTAAACTATCAGTGAAATTAGCACAAATTAGTGATTAATTACGCCATAATCGATGAAATAATGAAAACCTGAGTGGTGTTAACTGCACCTGTAGGTAAATCAGTTTTGTTATTTTGCCAGAACCATACGTTTGCCAGAACTGATCTGTTTTCTGAAAAAACATTATTTTGCCGATAAATGCAACCACACAGTTCTTTTAAAAATAAAATTTAAATATTAATTATGCATGATTTCTCCATTAAAATACACATTTTCACAAGTTGCGATAAACCATGACAATATTAATGCGGTTTGGTTCTTCAGTTCTACATCCACAAAATAATCCCTCCACAACACACATAAATGTATCAATCAGCCAAAATTTCAGGTAACAGAAATTGAATAATTACCAAATATCTATACACATGTAGGTGTATCATGTGATACAGATGGATATGAACATGCACACATGTAAACAAGATTTATTGACATTATTACATTTGAATTAGCATAAACTGTCTAGTTTCTAACACTGATATTAGAACCAAAATAATGTGTCTGGTTATTCAGACCAAAATCAACACATTTTGTGCTTTTCAATAATCTGAAATTTGTGCTTTCATGATTGACTGAGTTTCATGAAAACTGAATTTTTCTTACACTTTTTCTAAAATTCGGACAAAAAAACCTTTTAAAAAAAAAGAGCGGTAGTCGTCACGCGGCGTCCTGTTCGATATGGGACTCATAGCGACGTATACAACGCGTGTAAAATACATTGTTTATTTACATGAAATTCAAACACGTGATGACCACCACCGCTTTAACTAACAGACGCACATGAGGCCCAGCAATCTGAATATTTTTTTCTGATTGTTATTAAAGATAATATTTGGAAAAATTATCGCATTTCATGGGTTTATGATTCAATCACTTGGAAGCGGTTGCCAAGACTAAATTTCAGTAAAGATGTATTAAAAACAGATACCTGGTGTCAACTAAACTAAATTTTAATCATTTAGCTCAACTCCTAAATTGTTGCTTTCTCACTTAGGTATTAATTGACAATTCAGTAACAACTAGGATATTCAATTAATTGATTAATACAAACAAACATCCAAACTTAAACATATTCTTTTGTGAATTTCACAAGTTGGGGAGGGGGGGTCATGTAATTATGTAGATTTCACTGACAGGGCAGTCATGCTGAATTTCGAGAATTTTTCAACCTTATAAAGGCAATGAAATTAAAATAAAATAACATCGCAGTGGAATTTAATATTTACGTTAAATCAGAAAGGTAATATGAGATAGGGCTAATTTCATTTTGGACTCACTTGTTCAAATATATGTTGTCTATAGATATATATTTACTATTTTCGTGATGGAGCTACGTCACAGACGTTCCACGTTGCTAAGACACGCACCACTGTACCATGCATTTCTATGGGGTCTGCGCAAGCTGCTGTGGAACACCGATGAAAAAAGGTAAAGTCCAGAAAACACCACAAACTCAACTATGAGACAATCCTGAACAACCAAATTTAATCTTGTAAGGGTAGTCTCAACAAGCAGCTCAAAGTAAAGTTTTTGGAGAGTTTTTGATTGTTGTTTTTATTGGTTGTGGTTGCCAGGCATTGAAAAATGCTTGGATGTTCACTCTCGAGAATAGACTATTAGGGCAAGTAAGTTCCTATTAAATTGTCTGAATAGCAAATTTACTTGTCTCAGGATATAAGACAACTATTTACCCCTGTGATAATACCTGATAACATTAGATTTTTAAATCCACTCATGGGCATGGTCATAATTTATCCCCGTTAAAAAAAAGTTTCAAAGTTTGTATTTGAATAAATAAAAATGTGAGCAAAAAGTTTTTGATTACAAAAAATTGTATCAATTTCTGCATGTTAAAAATAAGTATTT